GATCTGAATAAATTAAAGTTTTGGCTAAAGGCATATGTCATGAAAATAATATTGTGTAGAGACCATAAAGTAATTTCTAATTTGATGAGGGGCCGAATTAGAAATACTAAAACTCAAGTAATTAACCTAATTTTGATTATATAAAGGGTCATGGTCCCCTTCTGAGAGCACACAGACAGAACACATTTACAGTCCCGTTCTTTTCTTTCTATCCCCATCAAGAGAGAAAATCAAAAGGGAAATACAGGTGCTCTTCAGGTGGAAGACCATAAGATCAAATCAAAAGTGCTCTACAAAGGATATCGTCATTATGGCTAATTCAGGTACGCTTTCGCATTTAGTTTATAACATGTTTACAGTATGAGATTAAAGATATATGTTTGATCATTAGAATGAAGATCATATTCAATTACAGTTTAATCTAACAATTGGTATCAGAGCAACTCATACTTGATTCATGTTTATCTTAAGAAATATTTAAAAATTAAGATTAATTTACGGAACCCTTAATCCCTAATTAAAAATCCCAAAATTAAGAATGCTAGGGTTTCTTAAAACCCTATTATCTGTTCCGCACGTGCATTATCCGGAGATGGCTAATTCAGGCCGCGCGACGCGGCTCTAATTCAGTTGGGTTAAGAGGCACGGTGAGAGTGGTTTGCAGTGGCGATTGGGGAAGCGCGACTAAGGCCATGGTGGCCAGGTTAGGTCTCGCAGTTCAAGCGACGAACTTCCTCCATCAGCGGTAATGACCAGTTCACGGTGCCATTCTTCGACGACGGTGGCGTACTCAAGAGGTTTCATACGGAAGTTTCGAGCGCTGGGTCATCCAGCCCAGATCTGGGGTCATCCACCCATTTGGGTAACCCGATTGCTGAAATGGCGGGGTTGGAGTGGAAGGAATGGTTCATACCCGGGCGGCACTTTCGAATACGACTTCCCCGAGGCGCAATGACGAGGTGTTAGGTCCGAGTTCAATTGATCGCAGTGCAAGTGTGGGAGGGAATACATTTGGCAACACTGGAGTCAACTAGGGTGGTTCTTCGACATGGCTTCACTCACGGGTATACTCCAAGTACGGTCGGAGGCTATGGACCTCGAGCGGATGGTAGATTCGATCTAGTTGCCGGTGGTCAAAGTGGATTTGCTCCATTTGGTTCAGGTTATGGAATAAGCATGAATTTTGAGCCTGGTTTGAATGCTGAATTTGGGGGAAATGCAAATTTCAATAGCAATCTTAGCTATGGTCGGGGAGTAAATCCTTATTTTATTGGCAGCTCCAATAGGTTTGGCAGTCCTGTTGGATTTGCCAGTGGTAATGGAGGAAACAAAATTCCCTGCTAATGTAAATCATGCACCTTTTGAGCATTATCCACCATTGGTGGTTCTTTAGAAAAATTCCCTGCTAAGGCATCTGTTAAAAGTATAGAATCATCTTGCTTCTCAGTGGTTCTCCAAATTCTCAAATCAGCAGGAAAGTATCCTGTATTACTCCATTTACGTAACTGTTGCTACCCCGGAACAATTGGCGACGAGAGAGGATGGTGAATATTGTGTGATGGGATTGATGGTTCACGTTGTGCTGGGTGCTATTTCATAGGTGCTTTATTGCTTATGATGAAAATTTTATAATTGGGGCGTGATGCCCCTATACTGAGAGGGAAGGAAAAGTTTGTAATGTTCATCATCTATCCGGAATTATTTAATGTAATATTAAATTTGAGTTTGTTTGTGAGATGGCGGGACAAATCTTTTTGGTAAATATAAAATTTAAATCAATAAAGCTTCTAAGAATTTTGGGGAGTCGAAGGGCCGGGAGTAGGAGCAGAGGTATAATGTGGACACCTCATATGCCTCTAAGGCGTGGACCCCAACCCATGTCTCGGAATGCGGGGCTTTAACCTTGTAATGATGGGAGTTAGAGGAATTGACCTTGTGTTTCCTCACCATGAAAATGAAATTACTCGAGTTGTGCCTGCATGTAAGAAAAGTGATATAAGCGTATGGATGCACAATGGTTTTGTCACCGTTGATTCCGTGAA